TGTCAAAACGTCAAATGGATATAGCCATTTATTACCTTACTTATTGTGAGTGCGAAACTCAATTGAAAGCACTGAGTAGACACTATACTTTATGGAGAAGCTTAGAAGGAAGAAGATACACATTCTAATGACTAATTGAATGTGTCTAATGAATTTATAATCAAATTCAACTATAACTAGACACATTTATGAAGATGAACGCTATAACATCCTAAATTTCAATCCCAAGAACTAGTTACTAATTAGGGGTAAATTAGTAATTAGTGGATTGATTGTGGTTTAGGTGTTGAGTTGATGTTTTGTGTTGTTTTGATGTTATATTGATAGGATTAAAGGGTGAAAAGACAATTCGAGGCATAACTTATGAGCACAAGTGAGATTGAACTCACTGTGCCACGTGCCACGGTGAAAGCTATGTGCGCCGCAATGCATCATCCAAAGATCACTTAAAGATAGCATGATCAGCTCGTGAAATTAGAAGAGGAATTGGTAGAAAACGTGTTTTAGGAGGAGGAGAAGCTCTTATCTACTAAGGCTTGCAATAACTAGAGCTCGAGAGTCTGTTTTAATTAATAACTTGCTAGGTAAGTATCGTGCAATCTCAAGCTTCAATTCTACCCCTTTTTCATTGAATTTGATCGATTTCAAAATCAAATCATGAGGTTCTAATATGTTGTAATATAAAAAAAAGGGTTAAAATGAGCTATCAAATGTAGAACTAATGTTTTGTAACTAGCATGGAGTTGAATGATTGAGGTTTCAGAGTTTAAGCTCCAAATAGCCTTAAAGTTAGGTTGAAATAGAGAAATTGGGTGAATAAGTGAGTTAGAAAGTTGTTATAATTGTTTGAGTAGCTTATAGGGCTAATGACTATAAATAATAGATAATTGAATTTAGAAGGGTTTAATTGAACTGTTTCATGTATTAAGGGATTCAGTTTAGTTGAATTAATGCCTATATTAAGTATTGAGAATTAACTGAGGGGTACTGTGTTATGTAGATTGAGCATCTGTGAAGTTGCTTGTGAGAATCCACACCCCGAGAGCTTGGAGTGGTTAGTAACCCTTAGTAGTAAGGCTTAAAGGTAACTGGAGTAACCCTCTTACTTATTTATTTGTGAAATTATTTACAAGTATTTTTATATAACTATGTGCATTGTGTTGTGAATTGATAGAGTAGTAGCATTATGAAAGTGTATGCATGTAAGTATGTGAGTATTGATTGAAATGAATTTGAAGTGGCACGTGCATTGACATACATCACATCCATGGGATATACCCTAGATTATGGTAAGGGGACACGACCCTACCGTAAGGAGGTTTAGGAAGTCTTGATGATCCAGAAAATAGAGCTTGACTCCATCATGACGAACCTAGGAGAAGAAATCCTAATGATCCAGAGTATCGGGATTGACTCTATCACAATAAACCTAAGATATTGAATGATCCATAAGGTTACCTTAGACTAAGGTAGGGGGTTATAGTCCTCCTCTGTATAAGATTAGGAAGTCCTGATGATCCAAAGTGTAAAGCTTAACTTTGCCATGACGGACCTAGAAGACCACTTATACACAAAGAGGATTACTTTGTTTGAGCAGTGGTATGATAGGCCCTATTCCTTGTGACTAGAAGTTCTGGCCTAAGCATAGAAATTATTCCACTTGGTAGAACTAAGAATGCATTGCATGAGTATAACAAGAGAGCACGAGAAGGCTAGGAAATTCATTCCTGTATATGCATATGATATTGTTTTTATTAATACACATGCTACTTTATCTCTTGTTTATAATTTTTCTTACTAACTGTTAATTGGGTTTCCTCTAAGTTACTGGGTCATATGCCTCACTCTGTTATTTTTAAACACAAGTGAAGAGAGCACGAGAAGGCCGGGAAACGAAATGAGGAAAGAGTAGCTTTAGTTAGTAGTGGTATGGCTACCATTGAATGAAATGAATGTATAAATTTATTTATGGAGTTGACTTGCCAACTAGGATGCACAAGTGATTTTGTGTTTATTTGTGATATGAAACTTGCTTGTATGTGTATATATATATGGTATTGCATTATGCTGAGGGTGCTCTAGTGGAAGGTATGTGGTTAGGCCTAAATGTGAAGCAAGTAAGTATATGTTATATAACTTGTTCCACTTGTGATATATATGTGTTGATTGTGAATTGTATAAATATGTGGGAGCTTGACACAAATGGTGAGACAGAGCCCCATTTGAAAGAGTCGAGTGCATAAGTCATTCCTGACCATATGGTAAGGCGAAGCCTCATATGTAAGAGTCAGAGGGTTGAAAGTGGAACAAATCTAGTTGTGTATATATAAATATGTGTTGTATATGTAAATTCCTCATGTAAGACCATAATTGTGTAATGCACCATTAAGAGGCCAAATTGTGTTATTGATGTGATATATGTGATATAAGGTGTCAATTTGGTGTATGTGGTCCTTTCAGACTTCGTTTAAGGCCTGAAGTTGTCTAATGGGACAACAAATGAGAATTGAGCACTTAGGATGTAAGTTTTTGAAAGAAAAAATGGCTTTTTGCACCCTAGGTATCCAATTTTAAATTGAACCATCAGATCGAGTCCAAACTTATTCCATTAGCTAGCATACATTGTAAGCTTCATGTGCCACTTGAATCACTCAAATCGGACGTCGAATGTGAAAATGGCGTACTCTGAAAGTTCATCATTTTTACTGTCAAATGACAGCAAAAAAATCAGACAAAGGCGCCACGACTCATAGTGTCTCATACTGCAATGCATGACACAGTTAAAAATAGAGCTTGTGGCTCTATGCCACATGACACGAGTCATTGAGTCATTTTAGCAGTGTTTGTGCTTCTACTAATCCTCTTATTTGAATATATGTTTTAAGAAGTCGGGATCCCGTGATTTGAAAATAAATAAAGGGCCATTACTCTGATATTACTATATTAGTAATTGTTGATTGTGTGATTGGAGATGGTAAAGCCCGATTTGAGCTAAGACTTTACAAACGTGGAAGAGTTATTGCACGAGTCAAAGAATTCAATACTTTACCAATCTTCTGTGATTCCATTTATTGTTCTTGCACTTCACTAATTGTAAATCAACTCTTTAAGAGAGTATTTGATGAAGTAGTTCACTTTGTAAATTTACTTTGTTTATCCCTATTTTTCATACTAGATAATAGAGGACTTAAGCTTAAGGAACTTAAGTGGGATCTATCATTACCTTTGTAAGGGAGAGTAATTCAAACTTAGAGTCTAGGATTGTGCTGAGACAATCAAGAGCTTAAACTAATCTTGATGGAGTTAGTAATGAAAAATCTCAAGTGTAGCTTGGAGACTAAATGTGAGCTCAAGTAACTAGAACTGAACCAAAATAAATATTTGTGCAAGGTTCTCTCCCTTACTCTCTAAATATTTGGTGATATCATTTATATTCCTATATCATTTAAATTATGTATTATTTGTCAAATTTTTAATTATCCCAACTCAACCCCCCTCTTGAGCACTTCTACGCTTTACACACACACACAAAATCCATTTAATTCCTCAAGAACAAATGATAGAGTTTTTTAGTTTATTATCACTTAATTGTTTTTGAATTTTGATTCCAAGAGTGAGCATATTATAATGAGTTATTCTCTTTTCAATTGTTTACATAATTGTTTGAGTTTATTCATTTTAGTCTTTTAAATTTTAATAATAATAATAATTACTATTATTATTATTATTAGAATGTTATTCAATGAAAAATATTTTTTTAGTATCAAATAGTTTAGCTAACCATGTACCTTTGACAGATCATTAAAGGAGCTTTTACTACTAAATTAAAGTTTAGATATGATTTTGGTTAATTTCTCTCTTGATGTAAAACTTTAATTCATGTATTATATTTTAGAAATCTTGTTTTAAATTCTTTACATAAACTATAGTTAGGATTCTCATTTATTTATCTATATTGTTGGTCTGCTAATAGGAGCCAAGCTCATGGGTGTTGTTTTGTATAAAAATGTTGCGAGATTTTTGGGAGATTCTATTTTTAAATGATGTTTTGCCAAAAATTTTACAGAAAATGTATGTTAGCATTCAAAAATTATAAATGCAAGAATTTTATACCTTCTATCATGATTGCCTTTATGATTGAAAATCAGGAATTTCTTGAATTAAAGTTTGAGGCCTAAAAAAACTATTTTCAATCCAAACTGCACCCTTTTCTGAATGCCTTTGTTTCTCATATCTTGTGCTTCTTTTACTTACTGATGCAGATCAATATGTTAAAAAGATTTAAACTTGCTTCCAAAATAAAATTAAAAAATCAGTAAAAAACCAATTTAAGAAGATTTGAAGAACACAATAATTTACTCTTAACTCAATTATTCTAGGGAGAATGACAATTAAGGACTTTTTAAGAATATTAATCTTAATTACGGACCGTGAAATTTTAAAATTTCAGTTAAGGACTATAGTTCTTAATTGTGATAAAAAAATGTAGTTTGTGAGGTGGAATTCACTATTGCCACTTGAGAATTCACTAACTCAACTTGAAAAAATTTCTAACATATATTGTGAAAACATGAAACTCCATGTGGCAATCGATTGTTTAATAAAAAACACCAATTTAGACAAGTCACTTTTTATTAAACAATTGATTCTCAAATAGGGCTTCATTTTTTCACAATATACATTAGAAATTTTTTCAAGTCTAGTTAGTGAATTTTCAAGTGGTGCTTTTTGTTAAACATTTCATTTCCAAGTGAGGTTTCATGTTTTCACAATATACATTGATAATTTTCTCAAGTTGGGTTAGTAATTTTTCAAGTCGCGTTAATGAATCCCAGCTCACAAATTACATTTTTCTATCACAATTAAGGACCATGGTCTTTAACTGAAATTTCAAAATTTTACGGTTTGTAATTAGGATTAATATTCTTAGAAGGTCTTTAATTATCATTCTTTCATTATTCTAATTCATTAAGTTCCCAAAGATATATAGAAATACAAAATAAAAAATATAACTTATTTTTCAAAATTAATTATTCCAATTACATCTCCTATAGTACATTTCTAAGGCTTCTTTTTCACATTTGTTCCTTGATAAAATGCAGAACCTCCAAACTTTTCTGCAGCAAAGAACCCCAAAATTGATTCTTATTCACACTTGCAATGACTTTTGGTTAGCACATCAGTACCTGTAGACCAATAATAAATGAATAAATAAATTGAATAACAAGGTTATTATTAGAGTGAACGGAAGTCATATATTCGTTTACTTTTGCTAATAATTACAGATATTTTTTTTCTGTTTTCAAAATATAGATAGATTTATCAAGGTATTTTGATCAAAACTAGAATTTACCAAGTAAGTAGGATAATTTTTATTTCAAAAAAAAAATTATGTATACTTTGGAAACTAGGAAGTTATATATATAATTTACTATTTGCTGGCCAAAAAAAAGTATAATTTTACTCTTTGATAATATGACACGAAAATATTTATGCTTCTATGAAACCTTTTTTCATCCTTTGGAGGGAAGTTTGTTTGAAAAATGGTTCCTCACTCCTCCATACCTAATATATGTTCATTGATTCATAAAAGATTGGGAGGTTACCTTAGAATTTTCGGAGAACTTTGATATCATCAAGAAAAATATGTCCTTCTTGTGGTTACAAGATCTCGAAACTGAAAATTGAAAGAAGGAACCTTCTTCTTGAGCCTCCTTGACATGGCCTCAACTTCTACCAAAAATGTGGCACAAACCGGCCGGTGATCAGAAAACATCAATTCCTTTCGCTCATATGAGCATTGCTGAATCCCCCTTCCGCGCCATAAAATTCTATCACACCTGCTTATTATTATTATTATTAGATCAGCAAGTAGCATTACAATGTCAACTGCAAAATTCTTCAGCCCAATACATACCATGCCGGAGTTCTTCTTTTGTGTTTCGGAACTTTGACGGATTCAACATAGTAACTGTCTGAATTAAAGGGATATTTGTAAGTAGGTGCAAAGTAGATTTTCCCTTCTTTCCATCCCTTAAATACGCGACCCGCTTCCCTTTCTGTCTGAAGCTGAAACAGCAAATATGCAGAGCAATAAGCATAGAAGAAAATTTAAGTACAAGAATAAGCATATCAGAAAATTTAAGTATAAGCATAGTGTGAAAATCTAGGTCAACCCCCTCAGTTGAACTAATAAACCATTAAACTAGTGTCTTAACTGGTTTAATAAAATGTTTTATTCATGACAGGTTTGATGGTGGTTTAACTATGATTTTGATTATTAACCCCTAAACCAATTTAATAACTGGTCCAGTTTTCAATACTTTGTACAAGTTGCATATTTTAGATATCCCAAACTTCTCTGACAAGAAAAATGGCCTTGAATTTTCTAGTTCGGAGTTTATTAATATTTGTCTACTGAAACTGAAAGTGATAACAAAGATTAGCCGCCAGCAATGAGGAAGGAACGCAGTATATGCTTTGATGTCACGTTTGGTGCTACTAATGATAACTTTTTCAAAGTGAGAACACAAGGGAAAATTTTCATTTCCTTGATCACTTCTTAATTTTATTTTTTATCACATCTCTTCTCATTCTGTATAACGAACAGGTCCCACAAGACTTTCAACTAGAAGAAATCAGTACCAAAAGACTGTGACAGAAATAAAATGAGATAACTAACAGAAAATACTTCCCAAAACTTAAAATGACAGGCATGATTGTCATCTGAGCAATCTAAGACTAGGTGATGTAGAACCAAAAGGGAAAACTCCCAGAGAGTTCTTCGTAAGCGAAACTCTAACTTAAACTCCTAGATAGTCGTCCAAGATATATATATATATATATATAACTGCTATTGAAACAGATACAAAATATAACAAAGTCATAATCAGCATACACTAGGGAACTACCTGATCCTTTTCAAAAAGTGCAAGCCAATCCTTCCTTTCCACAAGCCTTTTCGCATCATCGTAACTTAAGGCAATTCGGTAGTTTAAGTCCCCTAGCCATATGATCCGACTGAAGACAGATTTTCCATGTACATGTCAGAAACTTAGAGACAAAAGGCTTGAAAAGTACATGGAGAACATTATCCAACGAAAAGATCTTGGCATTAACATTAACATTAACGTTTAAACAGTTTCAAGAAAAGTGCTCACTCATGGTCTAGAATTCTCTCGGGCATTCTACTATACGATGTCTTGCAAATCCTCGGAAACTGAGTGTTCTTTAAAATCTCTATGACATCAAGGTTTCTCCGAAGCTCGTCACCCTCTTTCTCTCCAGATGCCAAATGACTACAGATAAAGCAAAAAGGTGTCTGGTACAGTGACATGCTCACAGATATACACCCCTGCAATAACAAAACCAGCATGAAGATGTATATACTAACTAGATGGTGAAGGGACTCAAACAAAATCATTAAAAATTCCTATTCAAATTACTGTAATTCAAGAAGGCAAAATATGATTTCCCAAAAAGAGAGGGGAAAAAAAAGAAGGATTAGAATACCTTGTTTCCGAGGCAACCCATGATCCCACGACTAGTGCAACATACTCTCAAATGGCCAACATGTTGAACAAGTTCCTTCTTCATCCAGACACAAACAAAAATTCCAACCATTTGCTTGCTTGCAACAAGGCTGTATTTCATATTCTTATTAGTAGCCAATGAAATGGAAGTTTGGTAGCTGTCATCGTCCTCTTCAGAGGAAGAATCGTCAAGGTTTACGATTGATTCTTGGCAGAGAAAACATAATTCCTTGGAAGCCTTCCATTCCATTTCATGAACACAGTTACAACCTTTTAATCTCTTTCCATCTAACGTCCTTAATGTCTTCTTAAGCTTCCTATAAGTGGGTTTTTGAAAGAATAATGATCCACTAAATGATGCTGTGTGTTTTAGTCCCTTTGAAGTTAAATAAGAAGGTCCATTCAGTGAATAATTGATCAAAGCAAGCCATTTTGCTGCCGGCTCGTTATCCTCTAATACGAGCACATTTCCTGCATTTAACGGGACGATTTCCTGAAAACTAACAAGATGGAGAAAGGCAAATCCAACACAGAATAAATTAATAGCAGAAGAATTTGATCAAGGCATTAAATAAGAAATATTTAGTTTTATCTTTCTTGTTCCTCTGCCTTACACAGAATTACTTGTCATTCAAATATCTCCCACCCAAAAAAAGGATATGTCAGAAAGGTAATGATCCATAGCTTATATTATAGGCAAAATGATAGTTAACGACGCATAACCTATATTATTAACAGAAAAGAACTTACAAAACAAAATTTATTGTAATAGCTAGAAGACCAAGTTGCTAATTTAGAGAACATGATGGTCTCTTCAAGTACACCCATGGTATTTTATTTCTGTAATCTATGAAAAGGATTCTAATTTTCAAGGCTCTTACTATCATTAATATAACTTATGGATCTTTAACAGTCATTTTTGACCTGAAGCAATTTTGTTAAGAACCGAGTTAGAAACATGAGAGAGAAAGCATACCCCAATACATATATATCTGGTTCATTTCTGACCTCAAGAAAGTCACTCAGGTCAAGGTTCCCATTAGGACATTGCCCTCCAACATTCCATGTTGCTACGAACACTCTAAGATCAAAAAGAATTTGATTATTAAAAGTCATATAAACTGAAACAGTGTGAGACATAACAAAAACCAAGAAACAGAAATTCATCCTATGAATACCTTAAATTCTGAATTTCTTCACCAGAATGCATGGGAGGCTCTGTGCAGCTAAAATAATGATTTTCAATGGATGGGACAGATAGTGTTTCTGCAAGTATTTCAAACAATGAACTTAACAACAGACAAAGAATCAGAGGTTGATCAAGGCAATCATGTCAAGAACATTGTGTTAGGGATGACAGTGAAGCTGAAACGTGCCAAGAGTAAAGATCCACTTAAAATCAACCCCAGCAACAAGTAGCTTATACATATAGGCAAAATAAAGAGAGATGTCATGGGTAAAGAAGAAGATAAGGGAAGATTTAAAAAAAAAAAAAGGTAAAATTCCTCCTTCTTCTATTACAGTGGCTTGCATGTCCAAGCATGAATATATTCTCATAGATTATTTTCATAGATGCTCCACCTTCTCCGTCATAAAATTTCTCTTGTCTAATAAGCCAATCATTATCACTTTTTCAAATAAATCTTACTGGTAAAAAAACTAGCATATAAAATTTCTCCACTGCGAAGGCAACACGGGGGTATATTATCAAGTGTTGAAAGGTATATAATATTCTCAACCTTATGTTTTAATAGTTCCAAATTAGTTATGTGTGGCTATAGAGAAATGGATATTGTAAAGAGTTAAGCAACGGAAAAGAGGATATATTCATGTTTCATATATAACACTAGATAGAACTGAAACACGAATATATTCTATTTTAACAAATTTGCCTTGGATGTTCCATCAAAAATTCTGTCATCACTGATCAGTAAGCCAGTTTTGTCTCCTGACCTTTCAAAAAATCATACCCAAAAAAGGGATAGAAGAAGAAAAGGTTCCACTTGAAAGGGAAAAGAAGAAAAACTTAATCGAGTTCCATTCAGAGGGAAACAAAGAATTAAATAAATGTTCCCTTCAATGGAAAAGCAGAGATTCCCCTGTTTAAGACAAGCAAGTAGAATTATATCTAAAGTATAGAAAGCAGCAAGTTCTGAGTTGGCCTCCCTAATATCAGAAAGATTATTCTCTGTCCCATCTATTTGTATAACTACCAAGAACGTACTGTTTCCCTCTATTTAATTGAAAAACTGAAAGCTAAAAGAAAACTATTGGTAACTTTTTTCCTCTTGAACTCACCAAGGGTATCAAACGAGACTCCACTGGCATCTCTTTCATTTCTCTCCTTCATGGCGAAAATTTTCCGAATAAAAGACTGAAATCACATACAAGAAGGCTGAGATAACAAAGGAAGCATTCATATTTACAATAACACAGCTAAAATACACTTCCATAATGTCAAGGTTTATAACATCTTTACAAAAGTGAAACAAACAGAAAACACTGAGAAAGATTCCAAATAAATAATTACCATGTGAAGCAAAAGCAAATCAAGAATACAAATAATACCTGCTTCCGTCTCTGTTGATTAGTAGGTATTATATCAGAGACTTCTAATCTGAGGTCACCATCATTTTCCATCTAGATTCCACCAAAAGTGGAAAAGGTTAATCATTGAGAAAATTCCGGGAAGAAGATCAATAAGTGAATTAATTTACACCAAGTAATTACTTTCCAGTGCCTAAGAAGGCACTTTACAGAGCTTTGATACCCAAAACATAACAAACATATTCAGAAAAAGAATAAGATCCCAATTGACTCAAAGAATAGCAAACAATACAAGTATCCATTCCTCTGGATTAGTATAATGTCATTACAAGAGACAAAATGAGAAAAAGATATGGTAAAAAATCTCAACCATTAGAAAAATCAGTGGATAGCCTAAATGTGTTATCTGGAAAAGTCAACTGATCAAGCAATTCCACTGAATTAAATACGAAACAGAATATTATCCGAGAAAAACTAGAATTTGAGAAGGAGAATTGAACAACCTGAATATTCCTTGTTCTAGAACAGAGAACTCTGTGTGTGGTGTACAACAAAAGGGGCACGACTTGGTCTTGGAATGACTCATGAAACTCTTAAATACAAAACAAGAATTGAGTATTGATGGTTCCAAAAAAGATAGAAGACGAGACAGAGTAATGGGTATACGTGCAAATAGGGAGTTGGGAGGTTGGGTTTCCCTTGCTTTCTCGGGAAAATGGAATGGAAAATTCAGGGGAAAAAGGGAACAGTCAAAAAGGGGTTGTGGCTTGGAATCTTGTGTATTCATTCCCTTGGAAACTCAATACAATTTAGGAGCGCAAAGGCCATGATTTGTCTGTTTGCTGCTTGGTTTCTTCCTTGGGAAATCAATATATATATATATATATATATATCCTTTTTAAGAACGAGAAAAAGAAAATATATATGGTCTTTTGGGTTCGATTCTGTGAATTGTCTGTGATTGAGCCTGGTTTAAAATTGAAAGTTGTGAGGAGAGGAGAAGAAAGAGAAGAGCATGGGTATGCCCACGTGTGTATCTGTAAAGCAAATTATTGCATAGTTGGTGGCCCCTTTGGATGGGTTTTTCGATTGTTTCCTTGCAGTGTGGCACCTAGTAAACTAATAGTTTTATTTTATTGCTTACCGATAATTTCTTCTTATTACAAATAATCTTTTCCAACTTATAATTGGACCAGATATGAGCACCTCTAGGAATTCAAAACTTGATTAAACATATTATAAAGGTTGGCCTTTTCCACGAAACATAATACGTGTTGGTTAATTGACCAAAGCTTAAAAAGTAAAATGTGCAATGCATTGAAGGATATTGTTCGTAAAACTTGTCAAGGATAACTTATTTTGAGGTCACATGTGGATGACTCACATTTAAGTTAACATTAATATGGGTTTAAAGGATGTTTTTTGCCTCATTTATCGATGTAGAAATATCTAGTATTCTAAACTTTTTTTACCCCCTTAACATTTGAAAACAATACAATATTACCCCATTAGCAAATGTCAACTTTAATGGTTGGATTATCAAAAAAAACAATTACCAAAAATTACAAATAAATATCTCATAAAAAAATAATATAGATAAAGTTTTCTAAATTATATTTTCTCCGTCTTAAATTATATGATACTTTTAAGGGAGATTTAGTGTTTCAAAATATAAGACATTTTAATTATATTAAAGTTTCACTAAATAAACGTATTCCAGTATTACCCTTTTTCTCTTTTCTCTTTATCTATTTAATAATTAAGTTTAGATTTAAGGGTATGAATGGTATTTTTAAAAGTATATATTTTTGTTTGAAAAAATAAGAATGTTAAGTGTATTTAATTAAGTTTATTAGTATATGAAATTTTATCCAAAAACATGTTATAATTTGGGATGCAAGGAATACCTCACAAATAAGTATATTATTTGTTAATTATTTACTGGTGTTGTTGCTATTGGATAAGGCTGACACTTAAAAGAGGAAAAATTGAGTGATTCTTAAAAAATTTTAAAAATTTTTTTATCCAAGGAGAAAGTACCACATGAAACCAAGACAAAATGTGACGTGATAATAAACTAGATGAAGGTGAAAGATAGAATGATAGATGCACAAGGATTTATGGACTATGTCCAATCCTCAAGAAATTTCTTTTGATTTTTTAACGAAATTTTTGCAAGTTTTCAATCAGGCACTTGTTACTACTCACTGTAATACAACCATAAGACAACTTGTCTTGAATAACTCTCAATGTCTTACAAAACCTTTTTACAAGAAATTAAATTCACTCAAGGATACCACACCTTGAGTGTTTCATAAAAAATTTTGTGAATTGAATGTTTATATACCTGAGCAGATAAAAATAAATAAAGCTTAAACAAGCTATGAGAGTTTTTCATCCCAAAAAAAAAAAGGTCAATGCATCAATTGATAAAAACATCTGCACTTAATTTGTTTCTAACCAATTTAAATGATGTTGTATTTATAGTTTTGAAAGAATTTTAGCAGTTAGAATAATGAGATTGTAGCTATTGGAAATTTTAGAACACATAAAGGAAATGTTGTGTAGAAAAAGCATTTTACAACATACTCATATGATCCTATTTTTAATTAAATACTTTAAATAAAAATATCATTAATAAGATTTAAAAATATTTATTAAAAATAAAAATTTATTTATTAAATTTTAAAATAAATTTAATAAAATTTAAATTTTTTTTAATTTTGATAAAACATGTTAAAAATAACTTATAAATAAAAAAAAAGCTATAAATGCGTGTCAAAAAGATAGATAATACGCTATCCATGGATAGCACGTTAACTACAGTGAAAACCAAATTCTGACACACAGATAATGCATTGAATAAACGTTATTTAGGATGGATAACACATTATCTAGAAAGTTTTGAGAAACTTAATATATTATAATTTATCTATTTTTATATTACTTTTCTTGTTTTTTGAGTTGCAAAATCAAATATTAAAATTTTGTAATCAAGTAATTTTGACATTTTAGTTTGAATAGATAATTTAGCTAATTCATTTAATTTATTTTATAACATGGTTGATTTTAAAGAAAATTAAGCAATTTTAATTTAATTTTAAAAAACTTCATTCAACAGCAGCATCTATTACTAATATTGTAAAATAAAAAGTAAAAGAGGAACAGACACACTTGTTATGGATGACGACTCATATCAATGATCGGTGTTCTTTGCTTCTTCTTCTTCTTTTTCCAATTAGATAGCAAGCAGCAAACTCCAATATTTTTTGGTAAGAAAATGACGGCAATGGCAAAAAAATGATTGAATTGAGAGAGGAGAGATGATAATTGTTAGATTGTAATAAGTGGTTCCTTCTATCTTATATATTATGGCAGACTAATGGAATATGAATGTTAGCTCTCTAGATGGAGAATGGTTAATTTCTGGCCCCAAAAAAAAAAAAACCAGAGAGAGAGAATGGTTAATGGATATTGAAAAATGGGAGCGATAGATGCAATGAAATGTGGGTAATAAATTTTTAATGGGAACATATAATCAACATTAATACTTAATAAAAAAATAATGATGGTTTATATAGGGTATAAGCAAGCAATAAATTTTAATAAAAACATGTAATTAACATTATACTTAATGGAAAAATTAATAACAGATTATATAGGGTATAAACAAACATTTTTTAAAATCTAAAGCATTCACCTTGGCAAAGAAGAAATAAATCAAGGTAAAACATTGAGATGCTTGAGCTATTACTAGGATTTTCCAATGATTCTTGCTGAAATTTGCTTCTTGTATTGAAAGAAGGGTGCTAGTCAATTTTGTAATTCCACGGATCTTCAAGCTTTCGAACATTTTTGAAAGGTGCAGGTCAATTCATGATTAGATTTAGTTTAAAGGCGAACTTTTCGTGGCCATGAAAGGTTAACAAGTTAATTAGTCATCAAATTAAAAATAACATAAAATAAATCAAATTGTCCACAAGTCTAAAAACAAAAGAAGACACTAGGCATTTGATCATTTGAACAGTCACCTATGTTCAACCATGACATACTTTTTTATCCAAAAAAAAAAACATGTCATACTTTGAGTGAAATAGTACATTTTATAGTTTTAAATACAAACTACAATAATCTAAAATAGCTCTACAGGTCTTAAAAGCAAGAATAAAAGTAGTTTTCATTATATCAATGGGAGCTCTTACAGAAATGATTAATCCCTTATTTGAATTCATGTTAAAAGAAATGCTCACATCTCTTGTCTAGTTGTGCCTCATTCCTCATTTGTGATAAATAAAAACAAAAAAAGCAATTTTCATTATAAAATGACCTCATTAACCATAAGGTTTAAATGCAAATGGAGCAGTGATTACGCATCAGAAAAGTCCACAAACTCCTTTGACATTATTAGAAGGAACAATGATAATAAAGTTTCAAAACAATGAATTTATTATGGTTAAATCCCTCACAAGATTTTTAAAAAAATCAATTATAAGTATTAATTCAGGTAGTTATAAATCCATGTACTAACTGCAAATTAGGCATTTAAAGTTTAAATATAACTTTTAGTTTGCAATTGAAATTCTCCTTTATAATTGTTTGAATCAATATTTGTAACTTATTTTTTAAAATTTTTTTTTGGGATTTAACTGTCATAAATTTCAAGTTTTGGGGTTTTATTGTCATTCTACCTTATGAGAAATGGTTTTCTCAAGCACTGCTGTGTTTTTTCCATTTAAACCTTAAGGCTAATGAGGTAATTTCACAACAAAAGCGCATGGAAAAATCACAAATAATGACCTCTGAATTTTGCAAATAATCAATCAAAACAATAAAATTATTTCTTTGATCTTGTTTATAGGGCAGAGAGATAAGAAAAAATTTAATCTTATTTAGAGTGCACTTGCCAATTTCAATGTTCTTCTTTACATTTTTGGCCTTATTAAATACTTTAAAAAAAATACTAATAATAAGATTTAAGAATATTTATCAAGTATAAAGGTAAAAACTTGTTAAATTTTAAAACAAAGTTAATGAGGTTTAAAGTTTTTTTTAATTTCGGTAAAATATACTAAAAGTTACTCATAAATAGTACTAGAGTATGAAATTAATTTTTAGGATCATGGTCCTTTTTGGTAGTTTTAAAAATATTGCTTTTGACTAAAATACCCCCTAGCTGAAATGCCAACTTAAAATTTTATCCATCTTATAAAAAAAAAACTGCAACCTTAATTTTCTAGTACTGAATCATCTTAATTGGATTGGAAATTTTGTTGAAGGGATTATGAAATCACTTACATTTGGTTTGGAAAAATTCTTCCAAACTTACAGACTTAGTCACCAAACAAGAGTAATTTAGTCAAATTATTATTTTAAAAACTATAAAAAAGACTGTGATCCTAAAATTGAATTTCATAATTTTATAATCATGATTAATTATTTGAAATAGATGAAGTTTCTTATTTGTGATTTTCCGGAAACACAGAGCTATTTCATCAAATTCTTTTGATCATCTAATAAAACCATGGTTTTCCAGCTATCCTTAATTGGAAAGCTCCCAATATTTAACAATCATAAAATAATGATATATAATATCTTTTATTATTGTTCTTCAAGGTTTCGTTCAAAAAAAAAAATATTGTTCTTCAAGGATGATTTGGGTTCTTTCTGGTCAAATATTCATGGCAACCTTTTAAGATGTCAATCATTACATTTACTAGATATGCTATTTTTCCAACAAATGATATTTAGTGAAGTAAACAAAAGCACCATCATGCAGGAATTGAGCCTTCCTTTGGAGTTCTAATAAAAAAGATTTCTTTTGGATTGTTATGCATTAAATTTTTTTCAAATGTCTTGAAAGTTCATGCATAAAATAAGTTAATTAAATTCTCTATAATTTCATAGTTATATATATATATATATATATATGAAAATAAAATAACGCAAGCTTAAGAGTGTATGCTTT